ACTAGAGTTCGACCCGTTAAAAAGAAACCTTGGTATTCGTTGCCTTCGAGTGTTGTGTAAGGTCGTAACATGAGCGGTCCGCATTCCCGACACACTCAATCCATCCATAACTGGTCAGAATTTCGGCATCCCAACAATCCTTCAAATATTTAACATATAGGATGAATGAACTACTTTATTTGACCCTATCGTGAAAAAAAGAAAAAACTGAAACCTTTCTGGTGGGTGATAGAATATTTGGTGGAATTTAAAGCAAGACGGCAGAGTACAAAGCTCCAAAACGTGACTGCAATGAGTGTTTCCTCAGCTACACATGTGTTATCGCAACTCTTACTAGGCATTTCAGGGATCTGTACCCTGCCTTCTTGCTTTTAATCTCGGATCAGAAACTTTGACTTTGCTATACCTGAGCATAATGCGCCATTTCATTGCCGAGATGCTGACGGAACCGCAAACGTCGTGGATCAACTCCAACTTTGACCAGATACATATGGACACGGGCCATGTAATATCCCAACGTTTCATTGGCCACAACACCCTGAAATGATTTTGCTTGAAGATTCACAAAATAAGAAGGAGTCGCGCTTATATTTATCTGAATACAGCATCTTAATTTTGTATGGGCAATACATCGATAAGGCGCTGTACGGCTTGGAGGGGCGTCTTGCACTTTCGCGAATTCCTTTCGTTGGCTTATGTTAACTAACAGGTCTCAGTTTGATCAGACCTGTGAACTCCTGTGAAGTTGCAAAACTGTTCGAGTGAGCCACGCTGGTCACAGGGTTTTACAGGTCTTCACAAGAAGATCTGTATTAACCTAGCTGAAAACCATTCGGTGCCCCCACTAAGCCGAACCGCGCCCGTTATTCATCCCACCTTTTCCACGGCTTCTCCTATAGTCATCGACACAGCTGGTTGTCCGTCCATTTGATTACAGGCAGAGAAGAGCACCATAGGATAGGAATGTACCTGGATGGTTACTACTAATTGTGAGATATGTCAAACACTTATAAAAACCTAAATGAACATGAAATACAGAAAGGTCTCATTCCCATGTGAATAAATGAATAATAGAAAAAGCTAATACGAACAAAACAGGTGTACCTTCTTGAATTTGGGAAGAGTTTTATCATTTGGATCTACAAAGTGTTCAATTTCGCACATGGTGAACTCTCGAACTCGGATCAGTCCCTGACGTGGTGAGATCTCATTGCGGAACCCAAGACCGATTTGCGCTGCAGCAAACGGTAGTTTGCCCTGAAAAGATGAAGAATTCAAACATCCTCTGTCGGAAAACCCAACTAACTGCACCAGTGTCCGCTATAAGTTAGAAAGAAGCTAGAAAGCACACCTGATTGAATTCCAGAAGACGTTTGAAGTTGACGAATATTCCTTGAGCCGTTTCTGGGCGCAAGTAGGCCTTAAATTTCAATACACAACAAGTAGGTATACCTATACAGAAAGGCAACTATGGAAGGTAATGCACACCTTGAAGTCTCCAGTGGGCCCTATTTGAGACGGAAACATCAAATTGAAAGCAATTGGGGGAGTCAAATCGTTTCCAGTGGTTGGTGATTTGAAGCCGAATTTCGTTATAACCTAGCATAGGATAATGCATTGTGAAAGTAAAATAGAACAAGGCAAACTAGAGGCAAACTACCTCTTGCATGTCTTTATCATCAAACCCTTCAAGACGAGCTAGAACATCCTGCAGTGCTGTTTTGGTAGCCTCGTCAGCTTTCTTGTCCTATAACAGATGCCCTATGCAAGGTCAGGATAAGATAATGAATAACATTCTCACTATATACAAACTGCTACGACTGTTTGATTGTTTGCTGCTTTGCTTGC